AGCCAAGAACATACTCCTCATACTCCAGGGCGTAGTACGTATACCTGATCCCAAATCTCCTATTTCACCTAACAGACACATTCACTGCAAGTCAAAAATCTTTCACTAGTGACAGTGTTTTAGCCTGATGCAAGTGTTTTAGCCTGATGCAATGCGAAAGGACTGAGCTATTAAATCTCCTTTTCCACAAACCCTTTGTGACCTAATAAAATGTTCAGACCACCACAATTATTCTCCAAGCAATAGGGCTAAGTTGTAGTAATTTTTCAGTGATGCTGTTCATGACTGAAATGATTATGTCTATTCCTCAGCCCACAGGCTGAGCTTAAGCAAGAATTTTGCTGTACCAATGCATTAAATTCAGACTCAATAAATCAGCAGCTATTCTAGCATCTCTGGAGCTGGGTGTTTGGGGGGCTTTTCTTGTTCTAAAGAAAGAAGTAGTGGGTGCCACCAGGGGTGTTAGCAGAGACTGGAAAGTTGTTATAATGATGAAAACTGTGATGGGAAGATCTCATAAAAACACTGGTGCTAGTTGTTACTCATTTGCACCACAGAAATCTGGAGTAAGACCACTTTAAAGAGTTTGATATGGAGCACTAAGAACTTAAGGTGTGGGGACTGTACTGAGATGATGTGAGAGCCCACAGCAAGTTTCATGGGGTACCAATCATTTTAGCAACACTTAGAAACGAAGACATTAAAAATACACACTGCTTTCATCTACTCTTGATATGGTGACATTTATACAAAAAGGAAATAAAATTAGCAAGCTATTTTTATGTGCCTATCAATTTTAAACTTGAGCTTTCTAGTACAGTTTGACTTAATACTTTAACTACAGAAAGGATGACAACCTCTTTTCTTTTGCTCTCCTCCAGCCTCCCCCAAATATATACCCATCAAAATAAATACCCAATCAATTTGGTTCAGCCTCTTGATGTGTGTATCCAAGCTACTACATATAAATCTCAGCTGAGGAGCCAGAGCTGTCAGAAGACTATACGTATCACAGCTTTAGACTAGGTGCGTCCAAATAGCAAAATAAACCTACCGCAAGTGACAATCCAGAACAGTCATGAGACACAACATAGACAAGGAGGACATAGAAGGAAGAAATAAAAATTAAAACATCCACACACGAACATTAGTAAAAACCTTGGAGAAATGACCTTTTTACAGTAGTACATTCATTAACAATTTGCCTCCCCTAGAAGGAATCTAATCCTCCCAGTGGCCTTTGGTGAAGCTGTATACTCTACTTGAAAAAGCAAGCGTTGCCTGCCATGGATTAAGACTGAAAACCTAATCTTATTTTCAACTCACCTCAGCAACTACATTTGCTCATAATCTACCCTATTTTATAAACAGTTTCTCATTTGAAGTTGTGTTCAGGAAAGTGGACATTTTGAAGCATAAATATTCTAAAAGAGACCAAAATTCTATTCCGCTTTCTGTAATATCTAGCTATTATGTGTGACTGTAAAGCAGATTGAGTCTCCATGTCTAAATGATCTTTAACTATGTCAAGCTATATGGCTCTATAATGATTTGGCACGGATGTGCAGGTCAGCATGAGTATGTGCAGGTCAGAAGTTCTCTTTGACAAACAAAACCAGACTAAGATGGAAATTATATTTCCAGAAGCTGATACTTTCGATTTACCAAATGCTACTCCCTTTAAAGTACTTTGTGCCTAGGGAACTAGATTCTTGCAAGATGCCAAATGCCTATCAACTGTTATTATGCACCCTCAGCTGAAGGCAGAAGGTAATTAGCACTTGCAGGTTCAGGCCTAACAAAGACTGAACTAAGCTTTTTGGTTTTTTCACAACATTTGAGATCTTTGGTACTGTACATTGCCCTTTATAATGGCCTGAGATTTACATCTTGATCTCCAATAACTTGTTTTTTAACATTAAAATTTGCTTCTTTAAAGAGCTGAAAGGCCTTTTGTTATTCCCCTTTTTATTTTATGCCAGAGCCTCCAAAGTGACTCAATTCTCCTAGCTGAAATATTCTACATTTACCATTGTATTGAATTCAGCTAGGTATATCAAAAGTCGTACTGATAATTCTAGATTGAACTGTTAGAATAAACAATCACTCCTACAGGAAAAAAAAAAGAAGACAAGACAGATAAAATTTCACAAATTAGGAATTAAGTTGGTAAAACTTACTGAATGCCAAAGGCTTAAAATCTGTAAGCTATCAGACTGCAATGTATGAGTTTAAGGAGCTCATTTAAGTAGCCTGTTTATGAAATCCCAGGCAATGAAGAGAAAGCTAAGCTGGAGAGTTGGTGATGCATGCACTTATTAAAGGTTTGACATTCACATCAACTGAGAATGTACCCTCCTTAGGTTTAACTGTGCAAAAAACCCCATATTGGTTAAATCCCAAAATGTTTGGGCCACAGTATGTTTAAGCAACTAGACAGAATATTTAGAATTGATATATCTTAAAATACCTGTCTGTGTAACATTTCAAAGTTTGAGCTCTCTTTTGTAGACAAGACATACATGATTCAGCTTTTTATCATTTTTTCCCATTAAAAAGATATAAATTATAATAAATGTTAATTACATAATGTAATTTTGCATTTAAAACAGTTATTCTCCATGAATCTATGGTCATTTATCCAGGTCCTAATGAATATAATTAAAAACACTTAGTAATATATTGTAAATACAACAATGGCCTTACATGATATGGAACAAATTCTACATAAATATCAATCAACAGATTGCACATTATTTGTCCTACAATAAAGTATTAGGTTTGTTATCATTTGGTAGAACATAAGAAACATCTCAAGGAATTTTTCAAATTTCAATTTTTAATCAAACGGTTCTTCCAAATTATTCTTGGTTCAGTGCGAGGAGTTGGCTAACAGCAGCCCAGCGTAACCCAACAATTGATGATCTGATTTTCCATGCATTGCTGAGGGGGAAATATCTCACAATTACTTAATAGCCCAGAACAAAGTCTATAAATCAAATACAGTGAAACTACAAATGCTGAATCAAAGTGCTTAAAGAAAAGGGGTCTGTTTCACATCCATCACCTGGAGAAAACAAAATCAACATAATATCTTTTTCAAGGGAGAACTCAAAACTTATGCTCTGTTATTTTTTTGAGCTTGGCCTTAGAAATCTTCCTAACCTTGGAACAGCTGTATCTACGTAAGTGATTTTGTGTACTGATGAGGTCTGAATTTGTCTTGTGTTGGTGTCATGCACTTCAGTACACCAGTGTGGCACATGAAGCATCTTCCCTCCAGGTGGTACCAAGGTTGAAGCTGCGCACCAAGGCACCATCTAAAGTGGTCCACTTGCAATGTGCATGCAAGAGTCTCCATCCATTCCCTCTTTGTGCCTGTGCAGGACTCTTGTTATTTGCATTAAGCAATCTGGGATGGCTACAGGGAAATCTGCTTTGTACTGCCCACTAGCACGTAGACACATGAGTACACCTAGTATGGGCAACTGGTGTGAACTTCATTAGCTGTAAGCATACAGTCAAAACAGATTGTGTCAGATTAAGCCTCACTCCTTCCTTCATCACTCACATGATAACTGTGTACAGTAGTCACTCTAAAATGTTGATGCATAGAGCTTGAAAGTAATGAATTTTGCCAAGGTTTACTTTATTGGTGTAGTGTATAGCTTAGAAAAGTTAACTAGTCTAATGAATCAACATTTTAGTAGTGGCTACTGCAACTGAGTAGCACGAACAGGAATAGAACAACTGGATCTTCAGTTATTTTCTTTCCATACTGTCTACTGAGCAAGAACAACAAAGACTGTCCTCTTGTCTGATGATGGAAACTGGCAATAGCTCTGACAGCTCTGTACCTCTGAAGCTCATCCATTATTTTACTCCTCTTATCTGAGCTCCTTTCAGACTCCCCTTACATGATCCAGTTGCTGCTGGTCATCAGACCTGTAAGGCTTCCTCATCCACTCTCCTGATTTTGCTCTTCCCCTGTCACATCACACGTGCCTGGAGAAGCATGCTAATCTGCTCCAGGGCTCTTAAGACTGGCTGATAAGCCACACTGGTGGCTGCTTCATCACTATACAGTAGCATCTCACCACCTGTTCTGGCTGGCTCCATGGGCTTCTTAGCTACTTTGCTCTAGGCTTCTCTTCTCAGATTTTGTGCCTGACCAGCTGGCCCTAGTCCTTGGGTTAGGACAATACTAAAACCCTGTTAAAAAAAGCTTTATTTTCTTTCAGGAACGTATTAGTTTATGCCCCTGAGGATAAGGTCCCACAGCTTTCTGCTTCTCTTGCATGAAGAAGATCTGAAGGACAAGTTTTTCTGCCCTTATGAGAATGATGCTGCTCAAAAGGCATTATGCTAATAATTTCCTCCAAGTTACTCAGTTATCACAGAGCTGCCAGTATGCCCTGTTATCTTTAATCTCCTCCTCCCTAGTACAAAATGAATTTTCTCAACATCATTGTGTTGAATGCCCCTGTGCTGTTCTTTTTTGGCTGTTTTCCCTTGTTTCTATGATTCTCATTTTTTCGTCTGTACTGTTGTTTCTTTCTCTGCTGAACTTTTGCTTTTGTATAAAAAGACATTCAGAGTTCAGAGCTACTTTTGTTTATCATGTAAGCTCAGAAATACTGCTATACAAACACTGTACTAGGTCCTGGTCAAAGTCTTCAAAAAGGATAGTGAAAATTGTGCACATTTGCTTCATTTTTGGTACAACCAAGATACTCTCAATAAACTTGTCCCTTCCAGATGAGTCATTATATGCCAGCTCTTTTTTTTTTTTTTTTAGTAGAGCAGAGAAATCGGCTGACTGCTTTATCAATGATGCTACACCCAGATTCATCTTTCGTGATACCACCGAGAAGATGCTGCCAATCAGTCCCCTCTTCACAGAGCCACTACTGAGGCAACAGGCAGAACTTCCTGCAGACACATCAAACAGAAACCTTCAAATGCAACTCAAGAGTACAAGAAAAGGAGAGGTACTTTACCTGGTCTTTCATGGTTTTCCCTAAATCTTTAACATCTTTCATGTTAATAGCATTCTTCCCTCCCTTCTCCTTTCCCTTCTTCTTGTTCTTCTTTTTGAACAAGCATTTCTTACAGAGACAAAAGCAGCAGGTAAGGATTAATAGGACTGCAACTATGGCTATGGCTATTAAGGCCCAAGGTGGCACTGAAAGAGAAAAAGAAACACACACAAAAAGAAGGTGGTAAACTGTTAGTAGGGTTAAATTTAGAAACAAGAGCATTTCTCTCACAGCTAAGCCTTTTTCAATGAAAATGCCTTGAAGAAATACCTGAAATCCTTTCTAAAATATTGTTGTCATTTGGATAATTCTCCCAACTCTGAGCATTTGCACCCACAACTCCAATTTAACACATCTAGCTATTTACATGCCTGGTGACACATATCAAACTCACTTGCAGCTATTTTGATTAATCAACCATCTGAAAACAATATGTCCAAAATATTTATGCTGTGCAAATCTGTAAAATGCTCAGCACATTTAGGCAATTACTTGCTTCTTTCTGTAAGCATCTCTCCAACCCACCTGGCATCGTGGCTGAATCGGGTGGAACTGACTGGGAATTTCCCTTTTCTGGAACGGCATCCAATCCAAGCAGTCAGTTTTAATGAACAGCCCTTCTCCTCTGCCCACTGCTGCACTTGACAGACTCGCAGACTCCTCACAACGCATGCAGGTCAAGGGCACCAGTAAAGACCGACCAAGGACAAAGGACTGCCCAATCCAAGGGCATTTGCCCTATTCGTCATCGTGTCCTAATGCTAGCAAAGCTTCAGTACGTAGCTATATTGTCACCTATACTTTCCAATAAAGAAAAGAGCAGGTTCCCTTTACTTACTCAGTCCAGGCTGCTGGACATGGCTGAAGCATGAATAAATAACCGAGAGCACTTACTATCATAAAACGGTCTTGTTAAAGAGCAGAATTTTTGGAAAAAAAGGAATTAAGATGACACTTAAACACAAGTACTCCAGAAGGGAATTATCTTCATACAAATCAGCTTTAATGACCACTGATCCCCACATTTCACCAGAACACCTGATAAAACTTTAAATCTTGTAAACTGCCATTTTCTAAAAATCTCGAAATGCACTCAGTCTAGCAGGTCTGCAAGATACTCTCTCAGTGCACTACCTAAAGGTCTCTGATACGACACAGAGCAAAACCGAAGAGTGAATCAAATCTGACATGTTGACGTCAGTGAATCACAAAAGGGAGTGGACAGCATAAACAGAGAAAATTAATTGCTTAAAGGAGCTAAGCAGAGTGTGAAGCATGGTCACAGCAACTTCTGCTACATTATTAGCAGTTCAGGAAGAGGACAAAGCACCTACACCTTCCTTACTCTAAATTTAATGACTGTATCTCTAACTTCTATTCAAATGTCCTTGGTGACAGATAGAAAAATAATGCAGGAGAATAGTTAAACAATAATTTCTGTAATACCTTGTGTCTCCAAATGTTCATTAAATGCAGCTGCTATAAAAGGGAAGCTGTACCATATGTAGAACAAATGAGAACTGATTACTAAACAAATGAATGTTAAAGGATGAACAGTGAACAGATTAACAGCTGTTTATGGGATGTATTTTATGGAGTCAGCAGCAGCACTTCTGCAGTTAAAGTTGCACTAGATCTGCACTTACCACAACTTAAAATCTGTATTTCATGCATTAATGATTTCACTTTGTCTTCAGATCTGGTGTGGTAACACTTTGTAGCACAACTGACTCTTACAAATTTGTGAATTGTTTTTCATCCAGCACTCACTCACTGCGTTAAAACCATCGCCTTTCCCAGACAATGTGTGTTCTTCTCAAATTCTGAACTTCATGTGTGCACTTCGTATGTTAGACACTTAGCATCTAAAATGGTATTTACATAACACTGTACTTTATATCTGAGCTAATCTACAAGAGTTATGTCAATATGAAATGAATGCTGTGCCCAAATTTATCAGCTCTTTGTTTTGCTGCCTTGTCACCTGTACTTGAAGCATGATGTCAGCGAATATGGGGAGAAGCAAGAATATGGTACGGGGTTCTGCCTGCAGGATGGCACCATGGGAGGAAAGAGAGGAGGGACGTATCAAATACAGGTGCAGTGGGAGAACCAAGGAATCGAGGAGGCAGGGAATGTGGGTGTTCATAGGCTACATACATATGCATCCTACAGCTGAAAAAGCTTGTGTAGGTAGTGAAGTCAGGTGCCTTTGTGCTGAAACTGTTATGTAAAGTGGTATTCTGGCAATGCTGCCTTGGTTCTCTGGAGCATGAACAACGTAGGGTGCCTTGGGGAGCATTTGAAATGCTTGCAGATACCTCAGCTTCTTTTTTATAACGTGTTGTCTGCTCTCATCTGTTTGTAATTTCATTTCACCCAATAGCTCTTGTGATGCAATTAAATGATCATCAAATTAATATCTGAGACATGAAGAATTATGCAATATTCCTTATTTATTCCTTCAAAGAAAATAAGCTTCCTCTTTAATTAAACAAAGCATAAGTGATAAAGAAAAAAAAAAGGGTAACCCAAAATCTCAGTATTTCCAATACAAGAAGCCTGAAAAAGCAAAATGGAGTGGATTATTTTTTTTCCCAATAAAAGTGTACTATCTCTCTCAAGGAGATGGCTCATCCTACCAGTGCCACTGACAGAAACTGCCGCTGACAGAAATTGCCCCATCAGTGCATGTATGTTAGATTTAAGACAAATGGAACATACAGTCCTCACTGGCTTTGAAGCAATGTTTGTTTCCTTTCCAAGGCATTATTTAAGTAATTTTAAATGTTAATAATTTTACATCATATGGACAAAATTTTCTGAAATCATTAAAGGCTTGGGAGGGTGTTCTTATTTGTGCTCCCCAATTCATGATGCTTCCAGAGGAGCTTGAATTTCAGAAAAAGATAAGTTTTGAAAAATCAGTTTTCTATAAAGTTGTCTAAAGGTGGACAGGCCAGAATGAAATTACTAATGCAACCAGTCACTTTGGAAGACTCAAGTCTCTACTTTTTCAGCCTTTTTGCCAATTGTGAATAACATGTATGAAAACCTTAGCGACAGTATATGAACCTTACTGGTTTTGCACAGTGGCTCACTTTGGAGATTTTTATTGATTAATTCTAATTGGACTTTACCCCCACTCATGCAAGATTTTCAAAGAATTTAATTTTTCCAGTGTTTAAATGGACAACATAGGGAATCTACAGTTTGACAACTACCTCCATCTATATTAAATCAGTTTGATTGGGTTTAGTAGTGCAGTTTGAACCTCAGAAGGTCTTTGGACATGATCCATGTAACAAAAGACCTCTGCAGACGAAGCAGGGTGAGTGACATGAAAAATGCAGATCCTGACCAAGCAACCGAGGTGTCAGGAAGTCAGAAGCTTCCTGTACAACTTGTCTTACCCAGTGCCTGCACAAGGGGGTGCTTTGAAACAAGCAATATTTAGCTATGCGATCAAGGAAAAACTATTGGTTTAAGGATAATTAATATGTGTTTAAACTTTCTGGTATTTCAGTGCTATTTTCTTTGTTCTGCTCCCACGGGCAAATACAGAATACTTATTTTGAAGAACCTGTCATGAATCACTACGTGATTTGGTGGTTCTACAAGGCTCTTAAAGACAAATCTATAGGAGGGGATCTGCTGAGTAGCATAGTTAGTAAATACGGTCTTGAATTAGTCTTATTGATCCAATCCAAACAGGACTTTACTCAGAAATGCAGGAATAGAGCCGATCTGTAAAGGGAGAGTGTAGAGAAAATTAAATGGATGGCTTACTCCTGAGCAATAGCAAGGAACTGAAATGAGTAAGCACTAGGATTGTGCTGATAATTGAGGCATTTTAGGAACTGATTTTGCATCCTTCACTCATGCTGAACATCAGTCAGACATGAATGCAGCAATAGGAACTGTGGGCTCTCTCATCCCTCTCTGTCTCTTCCTACCACTAAGGTCAGCCAGGGCTGTGTGCATACTCGGGGTCATTTGATCCATTTGCAGCATTTCACAAATACAGCAGCTGTGATGCACTTACATTATCATTTTAGTTTGGGCTTACGAGTGCATTTATGAGACAGATCTCCACACCTCATCCATATACTCATGACGTGCAGCAGTTTGGGAGGGCATGACGGACCGAATGGGAACATATGGTCCCAGAGGTCACTTAATGGTGCTCCAACTGCAAAAAGCACTCAGCCCATGGGTGCAACCCGAAACCAAAGCATTCACCTACAAAGTTTACAATGCAGGCCTGGGTCCTCAGGACCAACTGCTTCACTCCACTGATTTGCTTCTAATGTGTGCCAACCTGTCATAAAATCTTGTTCAACTGAATATGCTAGATTCAAAGGAAAAGATGTAGTACTGACTTATTCACTTTAAGAGCTACAAATTACGCCCTTTATATAAAGATGTCCTTACTTGGCCTTACAAAAAATGCTTGGAGAGGTACAGGCCTTGGGTCTAAAACTGACATTCCCATTAGATGATCTAAAATTATCAAATGCCTTGGAGGATGTTTGACTCAAGAGGAAAGACAGTAAGAGGGAAGTCACAAAACATGTTAACAGCATCAAAGTGCTACAGTCTGTAAAAAAGAGTAAAATCCTTCATCCTAATGTTCTTCCCTTTCTGTGTGCAATGTCAGAGCAAACTTTATTACCTTAGAATCCAAAGAGAGGGAAGGTCAAGGAAGAGAGGAGCTCAAATAAAAAGCGAAGACTTCCATACCAAAAATGCTGTCCGCTGACAATTCCCAATTAAACAATTAAGAAGCCCCATTTAAACTGTGACAGCAGAAGACTATCAGATGATGGCAGCTTCCATAATATTCTGCAAAAGATGCCCATGGCATGTCGGAACTGATAAATGTGAATAATCTATGTTTCAGAGGGGGCATGATACTGAACAGGAAGCTGCAGCTGCTGAATAGTGGCATGAGAAACGCACTGCATTAATCTAAAACTTTGGTAGGCTGAGCATGAGAGCACTGGCAGTTTTCATTTACTAAACCCAAGTCTTATCTTAGCTTTTTGCACTTACAGCTTCTAATCAGGAAGCAAACACCATATATAGCTGTATTCAGACTTTCTGTATAGAAACTCCCCAGGGGCCACGTTCTGGGAATCAATTTGACTTTCATTAGAAGTTACTTAAAGAAAATGTACCGAGAGCAAGGACCCAAGTAATAGATACCACTGTTCTCAGCAAAAGGAATACAAAGGCGATCAACGCAAGGAAAAGGAAATGCTGATACATGGTAAAATTGCTTGTAAAAGAGGAAGATAAAAACTGCAAACTTACAAATACCGATGATTTAAATACTAGCCTTCAGGCTTATACACCTACATTTCTACCCCAAACACTCTATCTATGATCTCTTATTTTAATAGCATGCTTGAAACACATTATTTTCAGTTTCTTACATTTAGCACACATTTTTTAGAGGTTAATAGCTCCTCTGTTAACCTGCTCTTTCCCCCTGAATCAAAACGAAACAAAACATGAGCAACAGAGAGT